TGAGTTCTTTATCTCTGTTTTTTCTTTTTAAGATTTTATTTATTTATCTATTTGACAGAGAGAGAGAGTGCACGCACACAAGCAGAGGGAGAGGGAGAAGCAAGCTCCCCATTGGGCAAGGAGCCCAATGTGGGACTTGATCCCAGGACACTGGGATCATGACCTAAGCCAAAGGCAGATCTGATATCTCAGATCAGTGACTGAGCTACCCAGGTGTCCCTGACTGGTTCTTTTTCTATACATTTCTGTGTTGAAGTTCTGAGTTCATCCACTCTGTTGTCAAATAAAGTGACTGTGTTTATGACCACTACTTTGATTTGAATTCTCTATCAGGCATATTTGCTTATCTTAATTTCATTGAACTCTTTTGATGTGATTTGTCTTGTTCCTTCATTTGGGACATATTTCTCCATCTTCTCATTTTGTCTGACTCTCTGTTTATGTCCCTATATTAGGGAGGTCAGCTGTGTCTCCTTGTCTTAAAACTGGTGCCTTCTGTAGAAGAGATCCTGTGGTATCCTGTAAGTCCTTCTTTGGTCACCAGAAACAGGTGCTCCAGGGGTGTCTCCTCTGCATGCTGTGTGTGCCCTAATGTGGCTGAACTGCATTTGTCTTCAGTCCAGCCAACTGCAATGACCTGATTTGCCTGCTTTGAGCAAACAAGGAAGAATTTGTGCAATTGAGAAGTCTGTTTGAGGCCTCTGCAATCTCGTAGGTGGGTGGGGTCAGCAGTCAGGGTGTCTGAACTTAGCCTGTCTACCACAGCTGTGGGATACCAAACAGTAAACTTTACTTTTTGCTCAGCCAGTGAAGAGGCTTTGATGCTGGAACTGTGGGCATTCTGGTGTGTGGGATTATCTTCCCCTCTCCCCAGGGCAGGCATCACTTTTGAGTGGTGCTGGTCCCTGCCGGGGCTGCTTGCAGGTAATGGTGGGGGCAGGAACCACTTTGGTGGGATGCTTGTCAATGCAGGAGGGTTCGATGGGCAGATCTGCATGTAAATAGTGCTAGCAAGATAGGTAGAGAGTGTTATGCTGGCTCCTGCAAGTGTCCAGCTATCTAGGATCAGGGAGGGGAAGAGAAGTGGCATCCACCAGTACTTTTGTTTCTAGAGAAGTCTCCTGATGATCCCTACCCCTCTAGCATATGTTCTGAAATTACTAAGTAGATCTCCTTCATGTATACCCCAGGCACTTTTCAAACTGCTACTATTGTGCTATGTTTCTGGCTGAGTTATTTGTTATTCTGGCTTTTTAAAGGCAGGACTCTGTTTCCTGTTATTGTCTGACTCTCCTGGAGTTAAGCCCAGCTAATTTTTAAAGTATGTGGAGTTAAGTTTTGCTGATACCAAAAGCTCCTGAAGTTAAGGCCCATTGGTTTTCAAGGCCAGATGTTATGGGGACTCATCTTCACAGTGCATTTCCCAGTGTCTTGGGTGCCTGGTGTGAGGTTTAATCCTCTCCTTTCTCTTTGCTTGTAGTGTAAGTCCTGTTTGTGGTTAATCTCACCCAGTGTTTTGGTTCCCAACTGTGTCTCCACGGCTCCTACCCTTTTTGATGTGACCCCCTGTCTATGATTAACTTTGGAAGGTCTTTTCTGCCAGTCTTCAGATCATTTTCAGAGCTAGTTACATAAATGTAGCTATAATCTCAGAGGTGTGTCCATGGGGGGAGGTGAGCTTGGGATCAACCTACTCTATCTTCCCTGAACTATTTGATTCTTAGTTTTCGTCTCTGCTGATATTTCCCACCTGATCCACATATGATGGCTGTCTTTCCATTAGATCCTTTAATGTTTTAATCATAGTAATTTTATATTCCTTGTCTAATTATTTATATATCTGTTTCGTATTGGAGTCTGCTTCTGTTGACTATTTTGCCTCTTGACAGTTATTTTTTTCTTGCTTTTTTATATGCCTTATACTTTTTGTTGAACATGGGTTATCTTGTGTAGTGATAATAGTGTTTATGTCTGGAACTGGGCTTGCCTTTCTGCTAAATCTTTAGTTTGAAGTAATGTTTTATATGTTTGAAAGAAACAGTAAGTTACCTATATATAAGGGAAACTATCATAAGCTCTGTGGAGTTAAATGTATCCTAATTTATTTGCCATTATCTTTTTATTACCTTCTTTGTAATTACTTTTGGGGGTCTTATTCTATATAAAGCATTCTCTATAATTTTTAAAACAGGCTTTTAGGGAATGAACTGAACTTATCCCCGTTTTACAAATGGAAACTTAAGTAAAATTAAACACCTATCAAATAGTAGAATGGGAACTTGATTCTCCAGGTGTCTGATTTCATATCTTATGTCCTTAACTATTACCCTGTTTAGATTCATCATTTGACTTCACCTAAAAAAAAAGGATTGGGTATCACTTATATTGAAGGCCCTGTGATATGTGCTATGGAGAGACAACATGATCAATATGATATCTGCATTTAATAAAATGTTAGGGGTGCCTGGGTGGCTCAGTCAGTTAAATGTCTGACTCTTGGTTTCAGTTCAGGTCATGATCTCATGGGTCATGAGATAGAGCCCCTTGTTGGGCTCTGAGCTTAGTGGGGAGTCTGTTTGAAGATTCTCTCCCTCTGCGCCTCCCCCCGCACTTGTGCCTGGTGCCTTGCACTGTCTTGTGCTCTGTAAAATCTTTTTAAAAATAATAAAATGAAATGCTAATATTCTAAGAATAGACCTTAAAGAATATCCCTTTTCACTACACAATTGAAATAGTAGAAATATGCAGTAATCTTATTTATAAATGATACTTAGTTTATATGTGTTAGAGAAACCTCTGGTTGCTGTGATGATTCATAACCATTTTAAGTGGTCCAGCCATCCTCATGAGGAGGATCATCATTGGCTTATTTCCCATGCCATTACTTATTCAGAACTCATGAGTGATGTAGTCCAAAAGATACTGTACAAAGATAAATTGGATTGTGGAGCACAGTATGGAGATAGACATTTGGAAATGATAATTTGATACGATACAAAGCTGAAAGAAAGTAATAATGAGGAACAAAGAACATTCTCCTCAAACCTTAGAGGATAACTTCAGTGAGGATAAGGAGGAAGAAAAATCAGTAGATAAGAATGAAATGGTTAGGGTATTAGGAGAATCAACAATATAGCAATGCTGTCCAGTAGAACTTTCTGTGATAATGATAATGTTCTTTATCTGTGTTATTCAATACAGTAGAAAATACTAGTCACTTTAAAGCTAGAGAATTTCCCAAGCACCGTCAACATGGGACTTAATCCACTGGTTTTGATGGTTGGTTTACTTCTGTCAATTATGTTTTGGGAAATCTGACTTTCTTGCTCATTTACTTCTCCTCTTCATGTTTTTGCCTCAATTTGGACAGGTAATTCCTTACTGTCCAGCTCTTTGGCTTTAAGAAGTTTTTTGTAATCCATATTTTATTTAATAATTTTTTTCATGGAAATGTTGGCCTATGTAACCTAATCTATTACTAGAAACAGTAATCTTTTGTTTTGAATTTCATGGAAGAATGGTATACTTACAATTTTTCTAGGCTTCTTGGCATAATCTTTCTTTTATATGTTCCTCCTTTACTATTTTGTGTCAACTTTTTTTTTTTAATTTTTTTGTAGGATTTTTTTAATAAGTTCCATGTTGAGAATTTTTTTTTACTGTGATTCTTGATTGGTACTGTTCTTTTTATAAGCTAGGCTAGTAGGTAGCTTAGATGTTTGATCAATTGTTTCCAGACACTTTTCTTACCAGCACTTTTCTGTATATAATATACTCCCTTCATGGCTAGCCATAAGCTTCCCTAAAGCACTTCATGTATTATAGATTACTTTTTTCTACCTCTTGTATTCTTATTGCTATTCTTATTTTCAGAGTGGATAGAAGACATAGACATCTTTTTTTTTTTTTTCTGTAAACTGTAAGGAAAGTTCTGTCTTGTTTTTCTAGATGGGGCTGCTCTGTACATGGCAGGTCTACTATAAAGTCATATAATTTAGTTCTCTGCCAGTTTCTAACCTTGTAGTTCCTATATTTCCACATGCTTCTCTTTTGGTACCATCGTATTTCTCTCCATGCCTTAAATAGCATGTTGGTTGATTTAGAAATAAGTAGCATTTTTCTAATGGCCTTTCTTACAGGGAGAAATTAATTTTTTTTCTTGAATCTTCTTAATTGCCCCAAATTAGAAGCATCCATGGTATCTTCCAGTAGGTGAATGGATAGACTGTAGTACATCCATGCAATGAGTTATCATGCGGCAGTAAAAAGAATGATCTATAAATCCACAAAAAGACATAAATGAACCTTAATTATGTATTGCTAAGTGTAAGAAGCCAGTCTGAAAAAGTTACTGTTATGATTCCACCTATGTAGCATTGTGGAAAAGACAAAACAATAGAGATACTGAAAAGATCAGTTATTATCCAGGGAATTAAGGGAGTGAGGGAGGAGGGATGAATAGATGGATGTCAGAGGGTTCTGAGGTCTGTAAAACTATTCTGCATGATACTGTAATGGTGGGCAGATATGCTTATGTCAGAAGCCATACAACTGTACACCACAAAGAGTGAACCCTAATGTAAATTGTGGACTTTGGTTAATAGTGATGTATCAATATTGGTCCATCACATGTAACAAATATACCACATAAAGGCAAGATATTAATAACAACCATATGTGGGTTGGGGAGTGGGTTTGTAAGAGGAGAATATATGGAAACTGTACTTCCTGTGCAATTTTTCTGTAAACCTAATCTGGAAAGTAAAACCTATAACTAAAATATATTCATACTTGATAAAGAGTTCATAAATAGACTAAAGTAATTAAATAACTGTAGGTAGTATCTAAATAAAGTAACAAAACAGCAACTTATATGAGAATGTGTTTCTTTTCTGTTGTTAACAATTTGGTCTTTATTCTGCCTTCTTAAATTTTTTTTTAGAATTCCTCCAGTCATTCTTGTTTCTGTATTTATTTTTCTTTTTGGTCTTTTCTATTAGGTGTACTAGCCCTATCTTGGTACCCACCTGGTACAAATGATGAAAATGGAGAAAATACTGATGACTTGGTACCGACTATTTTGGATAAAGCTCATAAATATAATCTGAAGGTATTTAATTTTATTTTTTTTGGAGATATCGATATTAGTATCAGGTGTTCAACATAATGATTTGGTGTGTTTATTTTGTGAAATGATCATCACAGTAAGTCTAGCTAACATTCATTACACAATTACAAATTTGTGTGTGTGTGTGTTAAGAATTTTTAAGATCTGTTCTCTTAGTGGCTTTCAAATGTATCATACAATGTTAACTGTAGTCACTATGCTGTACATTATATACCTAGGTCTTTTTTATTTTATGACTGGAAGTTTGTACCTTTTAACCATCTTCACCCATTTCACCCCCTCCCCACCCCCACCTCAGACAACCATACATCTGTTATCTGTGTCAATGAGGTGTTTTAGGATATTTGTCTCTGTCTGACAGACTTACTTCACGTAGCATAATGTCCTCAAGGTCCATCTATGTTGTAGCAAATGGCGAGATTTCCTTCTTTTTGTGGCAGAATAATATTTGCCTTTATATATACCACATTTTCTTTCTCCATCCATCCATTAATGGACATTTAGGTTATTTCCATTTCTTGGTTATTGTAAACACAGGCACACCTCATTTTGTTGCGCTTAGATTTTGTGCTTTGTAGATACTACACTTTTTTTAAAAAATTGAAGTTTTAGGGCAACCCTGCATATAGCAAATATATTTTCCAACAGCTTTTGCTTCATGTTCTGTGTCACGTTTTGGTAATTCTCACAATATTTCAAACTTTTTCATTATATTTGTTAAGGTGATCGGTGATGAGTGATTATGACTTGCTGAAAGATCAAATAATGGCTAGCATTTTTTAGCAATAAAGTATTTTTTAGTTAAGACACATACATTGTTTTTTAGACATAATGCTATTGCAAACTTAACAGACTACAGTGTAGTATAAGCTGAACTTTTTTATGCACCGGGAAGCCAAAAAATCCATTTGACTCCTTTTTTGCAATATTCATTTTATAGTGATGGTCTGGAACCGAACCTGTAATGTCTCTGAGGTATGCATGTAATTGTGCAGTAAGCATCACTATTTTTTCAAACTTGTTTTTGTTTCCTTTGGATAAATACCAGAAAGGGAATTGCTGGATCATATGGTAGTTTTATTTTTAATATTTTAAAGTACTTCCATAGTGCGTTCCATAGTGGCCGCATCAATTTATATTCCCACCAACAGTGCACAAGGGTTCCCTTTTTTCCCCAACCTCTCCAACACTTGTTATTTCTTAAAGATTGATTTATTTTAGAGAGAGAGAGGGTATGTGCGTCCATGAACAGGGCTAGGGGCAGAGGGAGAGAAAGAGCATCTCAAGCAGACTCCATGTTGAGCACAGAGCCTGATACAGGACTCGATCCCATGACCCTGAGATCATGACCTGGCCAAAACCAAGTGTTGGATGCTCAACTGACTGAGCCATCCAGGTCCTCCCAACATTGGTTATTTCTTGTCTTTTTGATAATAGCCATACTAACAGGAGTGAGGTGTATCTCACTGTGGTTTGATTTGCATTTCCCTGATAATTAGTGAGGATGAGCACCTTTTCAGGTACCTGTTGGCCATCCAGATATCGTCTTAGGAAAATTATTCAGAACTTCTGCCCCTTTTTTAATTGGATTGTATGCTTTTTAAAATTGATTTTGGATATTAACTCCTTATCAGATATATGCAAATATTTTCTCCCATTTGCTAGGTTGCCTTTCACTTTGTTGTGCAGAAGCCTTTTAGTTTGATGTAGTCCCACTTATTTTTGCTTTTGTTGCCTTTGCCTTATGATGTCAAATCCAAAATATCATCGCTAAGACCTTTGTCAAGGAGCTTCTCACCTATGTTGTCTTCCAAAAGTTTTATACTTTCTAGACTTATGTTTAAGATTTTAATCCATTTTGAGTTAATTTTGTATATGGTGTAATTTAGTGGTTCAGTTTCATTTTTTTTGCATGTAGCTCTCCAGGTTTCCAAACACGATTTATTGAAGAGACTGGCCTTTCCCCATTGTGTATTCTTGGCTCTGTTGTTGAAGATTAATTGACGATATCTGCATGGAATTTTCTGGGAGGGAGGGAGGCTTTCTATTTTGTGTGTTCCATTGATCTGTGTCTGGTTTTGTTTTTTTTGTTTGTGTTTTTGCGAGTACCATTCTGTTTTGATTACCATAGCTTTTTTTTTTATTTTAAAGATTTTTATTTATTTGACAGAGAGAGAGAGATAGAGCAGGAACACAAGCAGGGGGAGTGGGAGAGGAAGAAGCAGGCTTCCTGCCGAGCAGGGAGCCCAATGCGGGGCTCCATCCCAGGATACTGGGATCATGACCTGAGCCAAAGACAGACGCTTAATGACTGAGCTACCCAGGCACCCCAATTACTGTAGCTTTATAATATAATTTGAAATTAGGGACCTCGATGCTTCCAGGTTTGTTTTTCTTTCTTAAGATTGCTTTGGTTCTCTCTTGTGGTTCCATACACATTTTAGGAATATTTGTTCCATTTCTGTTGACAGTGTCATTGGAATATTCCTAGGGATTGTACTGAATCTATACATTGCTTTGTGTAGCATGGACATTTTAACAATATTAGTTCTTTTAGTTCATGAGCATGGAATATCTTTCCATTCTTGTTTTCTTCACTTTGTTTTCATTAATGTCTCATACTTGTCAGTGTCCAGATCTTTCACCTTCTTAGTAAAATTTATTCTGGTATTATTTTTGATGCAGTTGTAAATGGATTTTCTTGATTTCTGTTAGCTCATTATTAGTGAATAGAAATACCAACATTTTCATATACTGATTTTGTATTCTATGACTTTACTAAATTTTGTATTCTGCAACTTTACTAAATTAGAATAAAACAAATTGTTTATTCTAACAGTTTTTTGATGAAGTTTTAGACTTTTCTATGTCATCTGTAAATAATGACAGTTTTGTTTCTTCCTTTCTAATTTGTATTCCTTTCATTTCTTTTTCTTGCATTGTTACTCTGGCTGGGAATTCCAATATTATGTTGAATAAAGTGATGAGTGTAGGCATCCTTATCTTATTCATGATCTTAGAGGAAAATACATTCAGTATTTCTCCATTGGGTATGATGTTAGCTGGGGGCTTGTCATATAGCTTTTACTATGTTGAGGTACATTTTCTCTATACCCACTTTATTGATAGTTTTATCATAAATGGATGTTGAATCTTGTTGAATGCTTTTTTTCTCCATCTATTGAGATGATACATTTTTTTTTGTTAACATATAATGTATTACTTGTTTTAGGGATATAGGTCTGTGATTCATCAGTCTCACAAAATACACAGCACTCATCACAACACATACCCTTCCCAGTGTCCATCACCCAGCCACCCCATCCCTCCCACCCCCTCCATTCCAGCAACCCTATATTTGTTTCCTGAGATTAAGAGTCTCTTATGGTTTGTCTCCCTCTCTGGTTTCTTCTTGTTTCATTTTTCCTCTCTTCCCCCATGATCCTCTGCCTTGTTTCTCAAATTCCACATATTAGTGAGATCTTATGATAATTGTCTTTCTCTGATTGACTTATTTCGCTTAGCATAATACCCTGTAGTTCCATCCACGTCATTACAAATGGCAAGATTTCATTTTTTGGTGGCTGCATAATATTCCATTGTGTGTGTGTGTGTGTGTGTGTGTGTGTATATATATATATACACACCACATCTTCTTTATCCACTCATCTGTCCATGGACATCTGGGCTCTTTCCATAGTTTGGCTATTGTGGACATTGCTGCAATAAACATTGGGGTGCAGGTGGCCCTTCAGATCCCTACATTTGTATCTCTGGGGTAAATACCCATAGTACAATTGCTGGGTCATAGGGTAGCTCTATTTTTAACTTTTTGAGGAACCTCCATACTGTTTTCCAGAGTTCCTGCACCAGCTTGCATTCCCACCAAGAGTGTGTGAGGGTTCCCCTTTCTCTGCATCCTCGCCAACATCTGTCATTTCCTGACATGTTAATTTTAGCCATTCTGACTGGTGTGAGGTGGTATCTCATTGTGGTTTTGATTTGTATTTCCCTGATGCCAAGCCATGTTGAGCACTTTTTCATGTGTCTGTTGGCCGTTTGGATGTCTTCCTTGGAGAAATATCTGTTCATGTCTTCTGCCCATTTCTTGATTGGACTATTTGTTCTTTGGGTGTTGAGTTTGATAGGTTCTTTATAGATTTTGGATACTAGCCCTTTATCTGATATGTCATTTGCAAATATCTTCTCCCATTCTGTCGGTTGTCTTTTGGTTTTGTTGCTGTTTCCTTTGTTGTGCTAAAGCTTTTTATCATGATGAAGTCCCAGCAGTTCATTTTTCCCCTTGCTTCCCTTGCCTTGGGCCATGTGTCTAGGAAGAATTTTCTGTGGCGAGGTCAAAGAGGTTGCTGCTATGTTCTCCTTAGGGATTTTGATGGATTCCTGTCTCACATTTAGGTCTTTCATCCATTTTGAGTCTATTTTTGTGTGTGGTGTAAGGAAATGGTCCAGTTTCATTCTTCTGCATGTGGCTGTCCAATTTCCCCAACACCATTTGTTGAAGAGACTTTTTTCCATTGGACATTCTTTCCTGCTTTGTCAAAGATTAGTTGACCATAGAGTTGAGGGTCCACTTCTGGGCTCTCTATTCTGTTCCATTGATCTATGTGTCTGTTTTTGTGCCAGTACCATACTGTCTTAATGATTATAGCTTTGTAATAGAGCTTGAAGTCTGGAATTGTGATGCCACCAGCTTTGGTTTTCTTTTTCAACATTCCCCTTTTATTCTTAATTAATGTTGCATTTCACATTGACTGATTTGCTGATGTCAAACCATTCTTTCATTCCTGGAATAAATCCCATTTAATCATGGTGTATGATCTTTTTAATGTATTGTTGAATTCAGTTTATTAATATAAGGTTTTTGCTTCTATGTCCTCATGATTGTGGATTGCTGCACTGATAGTGGGGTTTATGGTTAGATTGTGTCTCAGCCTGTCCTATCCATTTCAACATGGTTTTTT